CCCCTAATACCCCTAATATTGCACTGTCTGCCTTTGGTCTAGTGAGTTACATTCATAATCAATGAAAGCAAAATAATTCTGAAGTTACTAAAGCAAGAGCATTGCACAGTGCTAGAAACTAAATACAGGCATGTTTCTTACATATTCTATAAATAGATCAGAGGAAAGTGCAAATTTATTAAAGAACTTTGAATTAATAAAAAAGCAGTGGAGCTAATAGAAATAATTATTTCAGCTCTTGTCCAGAGAAGTGCATTAGTTAGCTTCATTATCTAATATTATATACACCGATAGTCACAGAGCTTTGAGCTGATACTGAAAATGACTGGTGCTGTTCTGTTCTGAATTTTGATTCCCAAACAGCATTGAAGTTGGTGTTGAGCTCTACTGAGGTTTGACTTCTTTTTTAAAGGATGCAGTCATTGAAAGAGCAGAACTTAGCTTATGCAACTAAAATAGCATTAAAAAAATGAAATTGGAAGGTCATGTCTTAAAAATCACACTATTCAGCTAAATCAGAAATGTCCAAGAGGATATGTATATTGAAGTATTTGCCCATTGCTCATTCTCTGTAAATCGTCATACCTTTTAATCTGACGTGTTCTGAAGACATGTGACAAAGGCCAACAATAAGGGAAACTAAAAGTGTGGGAGACATGATGGTAGAACCCTATTTATGAATACTAGGAAGCAGACAGGAATACTTTCAAATTTCAGCATACTGCTACAGGAGTATCTCTCACATAATCACAAGGCAAGTTGGGGATGATCCTGCTTTGAGCAGGGCATTGGACTAGATAAAGTCCCTTCCTCCTGAGGTCCCTTCTAACCCTAGTTTTCTATGATTCTATGATTCTAATTTGCTATTTAAAAGAAATAGCAGACACACTGGCATTCACTTTCAGTGTGGGGAAGAAGGGGTATAACTGAATCCCTGGATTGGGTTTACAATCCAGGCAATTTGTAGATTCCAGGTGCAGGGTTGGTTTGAGACTACTGCTTTCATCCAAGTTTATTACTGATATTAACATTAGTTTCTATATTCCACCTTTTTGTCTTCTTTTGTAGACAGTACAATAAAAAAACTGGCATGCATATTATCACATTAACCCTGCATTTGCCCTGAAATAGATCTTTTAGACAGCTCTTATTTTAGATAAGTAAACAAAGTAAAAAACAAAATTTCAGTTTACTGCCTCACTGAATCACCACAGATGTTTGGTGTAATGTCAGCAGAAATAAATTTTAATTTAGTTTATGAAAGCATCTCATCAACTATCTCTAGCTATACTGTAGAGCGCACAATGCTTTTTTTTTATCAGAAAGCTTCTATCTTATGAGCTTGGCTGATGGAAATCCTCTGTGCATGGGAAATAACTGTTAGAATAGGATGAAGAGGAAAACCACTGGAGATAAATACATATATGAATAAGCAATTAACTAATCCCAGAAAAGGATTTGCAAGTATATTTGGTTAGTGTTTAGCTTTATTTAGAACTTCATTCCAATGTGTTATGCCTAGAGCTAATCGAGATTTTGTTTTTGTTTTGGTTGTTTGAAAAGTTTGTTGAAACTGTAGCTTTTTGAAAAAAAACATACCGTTATCACCAGCACTTTTATTAGGACAAGTTTCTCAGTTCCTATGTGGAATTTCTGAGCATTTCTGAGAGAGTCACACATTGCCTACATATGCCAGAATACTAAGCATTTTAGTGTTTCGGGCTTTATCCTTGGATGTGTATGGTTAGGTTCAAGCTGTTGGTCTGGCTGATTTGAGCTAGGATGTGAATGAAACTAATTCTCCTCCTTTCCAGATGAGTGCCCTAACAATTAGTCTATTAGAAGGTAGGGCAGAGATGCACCTTATAAACTAACTGAATCAGAGATGCATAAGCTTTCATGAACAGGAATTCATGTTATGTTATGAAAATATATGGACAGATCAGGCTATCATATACAGAGAGTGATCTGAATATAAAAGACAGGGGTAGGGGAAAAGGAGGTAGTACTGAGGCAAACAAATAAATCCATAGAGCAAGGAAGTAAAAAAAGCTAATCCAGGTACTGGGATAAGAATCTGCAGACCATACTGAACACAATCCAGGCTGTGGATGATTTCTTGTTCTGCAATTTCACATGCAAATCAGCTTTTCAAGTTCTGTTGTATAGGGGCAATCCCATGGTGAAAATAGGAGCAACAGGATACTTTGCAACAGATCCAGATGCAAGCTGTTCCTTTTCATCAATACAGACCACACCACCACCAAATGGCAATGCTATTTTGTGTTGTGATTTATTTCCTCCTCTCACTGCCCCCTCCCCATTACTTGTTGCACTGAAACTGTTCAATTTAGCCAAAACCTTGATAAATGGAGAGAAGTATCAGAATAGTTCTCAGAATAATGGTCACTGGGAAGTCCAGTTCTAATAATCTTGCAGTTTTAGAAGCCCTGACTTGTTCTCACTGTAACCATTCCCACCTTTAACATTGTTTACAATCAGTACACCTTATTTCTGAGTTAATGCCCATTATAGTAGAATGGCAGATGCCAGGGAAGGGCACTGCAGTTGTGACAATAAACAATTTCAGTAGCTATAGTGAAATTTGGTGAAATTCGGCTATACTTTATACCCCCAAGTCTGTCTGAATTCATGTATGAACTTCCAGTGAATGGCTTTGTTGTTTCTCAAAAAGATTTGACATCATCGTGGGGGTGGGGGGTGGAGAGGCGGATAAAGGTATAAAGAATGCAATAAAAGTTATTCTCAATGCTTTTGTTAACTTAACCAATTGTCTAGTTCCATGTAAAAAAACACTGTGCTAAAAAAATCACAAAGTTCTTTCTCCCTCTAATTCTTTGATATATTTCTTTCTCTTTCTTTTTGAATGCCCTTCCGTCACTCCTCTCCTTCTTTACAGATTAATAATGACTACAATCCTATCTACTGCATTTTGAAA